CGCCGCCGCCGCTGCAGGGAACCCTAGCGCGGGCAGCGTTGGCGTCGCCACCGCCAGAGCTCCGCCGAGCGTCGGCCTCGCGCGCAGCCTCTTCTTGCCGCCGCGGATGACCACGGCGACGGGTGGCGTCGCGCCGACGTTGTCCCGTGCCACCGCCGCACCGTCGAAGCTCCCCAATGCGGCGCGGCCGAAGAAGGGCAAAACTTCGGCGAAGAAGAACAAGGCGACGGACGGCTCCGGCAGCACGAAGGCGAGGGGAAAGAAGCTTGCAGGGCGTTCGACGGCCGCGGCGGCTACCGAAGCGCCGGCGAGCTCACTCGTTGAGCCGGCCGCCAACGCGCACCACGTGTTCGACGAAATGCCCGCAAGGTGAAAAAAATTCCAACTTTTATTTTCTTCTTGTTTTTTCAATGCATCATCACATATAGATAGCTTATTTGCATTGTTCAGAAAACTTTGTAGTCTCAATGATGATGGATACATGTCAACTATGGGTTTTGGGTCCAACAATTCGCATTGGTCTCAAACCAATGACATCCATTTGGAAGACCATGAGTTTGAGGTGGACGAGGAGGGTGAGGGCATTGTCGACGCGCCGAAAGGAAGAGCGGGCAATTACATCACCAACGATGACAAGTTACTATGCAATACTTATTTGCAAGTGTCGAGGGATCCATCCATTGGAGGTGATCAAAGTAGAGATGCGTATTGGGGGCGAATGAAAGAATACTTTGATGATCACAACATGAGTGGAATTGACCGCTCCGAGAGATCACTTCTGTCCCGATGGTCCACAATCAACTCGGATTGTCAAAAGTGGGCAGCCGCACAAAAGGGAGTTGACAAAATTAACCCAAGTGGCACAAATGAGGATGATAGACTAAGTGGCATCTCATATATGTTCATCTCATACTTGTTTTTGGTGTCCGAAGTGCTAACTTGTTTTGTTTTTCTTGTAGTTCAACATTGCACAAAACTTGTTCAAAGAAGAGACGAGGGTGACCAAGAAGGGGAAGATGAAGAAAGGAAGGGTCTTTACCTTGTCTCATTGCTATGAAGTGTTAAAGGATGATGAGAAATGGAAGAAACGTGATGGTTTGGATGATTTGCACTTGAGCAACAAACGCAAGCGAACAATTGAGTTGGATGATGATGATGAGGAGGATGATGCATCAAGTGATGACGGCAAGAGAAGCCCCACACCCAACTCGGTTTCATACTCGAAGCCAAAATGACCGAATGGGTGCAAGAAAGACAAAACCGAAAACAAGAAGAGGAAAGGAGATGATGAGCTCAAAAATGCTATGGAAGCTATTGTGAATTAGGCAAGAAAAGAAGCCAACGAGGTGAGGAAAATGGCAAGCAACCAAGATGCCGCGGCCGAGGAGAGGAGGTTGGCGGCCGAGGAGAGGAGGGTGGCCGCCGAGGAGAGGAAAGTGGCATTGGCGGAGAGGAAGGTGGGCATGGAGGAGCGATCTAGGTTGTTGGAATGGGAGAAGCACTTGTTCTTCTTGGACACATCTTTGTTCAATGGTGCGCAAAAGAAATATGTCAACCTTGCCCGTGAAGAAGTCTTGATCCAAAAAAGAGCCATGATCGGCACAATGGGTGGCGGTGGCCTTGGCGACATGGGTGGCGGTGGCCTCGGCGGCATGGGTGGCGGTGGCCTCGGTGGCTTGGGTGGCGGTGGCCTTGGTGGCATGGGTGGCGGCGGCCTTGGCGCCATGGGAGGCATGGGTGGCTTGGGCGCCATGGGAGGCATGGTGCACCTCCGGCCGCCATGGGAGGCATGGGTGGCTTTGGAGCACCCTCTGACGCTATGGCCGCCATGGGAGGCATGAGTTTCGCTTCTCTTATTGGAGGCATGGGTGCACCTCCGGCCATGGGTGGAATGTCTTTCGATGTGCCTCCTCACACACATTCCCATGAAGATGCCGTTGAAGGTTTTGCCAACACCGTCGGAGCTTTACATGATGCGATGCGTGATGAGGATAGGGAGGAAGATTCATCTTCGGAGGCGGAAGAATCGTTTTCAGAAGATGAGGACGAAGACGAGGAAGATGTTTGATGTGTCTTTTATTTATGTCTTGAACTTTAGTTTGCATTTTGAACTTGATTGGATGAACTTGTGGGCATGAACTTTTATTTTCGTCAACTTGTTTGTGACAAATTTTACATGTTCATTGCATTTTGATGATTGTTTGAAACTCATTTTGTGGCTAAAATG